GATTGCAAGTCGCCTGGTCGGTTTACTTTAATTGGTTATCAGGGCTCTTGAATGTCTGACTGTTGTAGCTTTGCAGTAATTTCCTTGGCATTCTTTGGGAAGTTTCTTAAGCGGTTTCGGTCACTATTAAAATTTCTGCTGTGTTCGCTAACACCCTTCGTTAACTGTCGGCGAATTTTTAAAAAAAGTGTTCGGCACTGAAAATTTCGTCGATAATTTGCTAAACATTGGGAAAAATCACCCAAAATTTCCGTTACCTCGTAATAATACCTATTGCAGTGGACTTAAACGCCTGTATGCTATATGAGCGGTCGCAGGCCTTCTTTCGCGCACTTCTTGGACTTTTCGCTACGGCCTTTCATGGGCTGGTCATGCAAACATTGCCGGAGGTTACATTGACGATGGTCGCTGTTACCCAACCTTCCCCATCTTTACACATGTACACCTGAATACACGACATACACTCGCATTATGGGTATTTATTTTATATTTATTTCACTTTTCAATAGTATAGGTCTGCACAACTCGGGACAGGAACAGTTCCCAGGCATCTGTCGAATACATGGCATTGAGGCCAAATCATAGACGATACTTTACTTCGTCTATGTAAGCCCACACTGCCCGACCACATGCAGGGCCTCCCTCAGGGAGTTTCCTTTTCAGTCTACTCCCGTATACCTTAATGGCATTGGTGTGACGTCCGGTGGTAGGATCCTTGAAGTTCTTTGAGTGGTTAGCATAGAAATGTAGATAACCTTCTGAGGAAAGACGATTATACACCTTCTACATGTCCGTTACCACTATAATGCATTTGGCGACCAGTTTTGTAATAGCGGAACAGAGAGCGGGCCAATTTCGATAATTCACCTGCTCAACTAAGGCTTTCTGTCGGCTTGCATCGTATATTCCGACCAGCTACCACACATAAAACCCCAATTACCACCTGTCCCTTAAGACAGGCTGCTTAGGTTAGGCGGATGTTTTTGGGTGCCATCTCCCGACTGTTTCCGAAAATTTCATTCGTTATTTTTATTTTTCAAAACGGATCTAGTTTGGGAACACTTTCAAAGCTAAACATCTCGAGTTGGAACGTTTCGTGAAATAACGAACCTAAAGTATCACTGTCCCTCTACCGTCATCTGATTTTTTAGAATTATGAGTGGATTTTTGAGTCATGATTGCAGGTATTCTGGTTGGTAGCCAATAAGTACAATTTCGGCGACGTGCATTAACCTTTTCATATTGCTTCGACTTTAAATTCTAATAAGCATCTCAAGAGTTTGAGGTGTTACCACGCACTCTGCCATTTATTTGTCAATCTGAATGTGATCCGTTTTGCTCTTGGCTACCAAATATATCAAGCATCTGAATGTGCTTTTGAATTTGCATAAAATGTTAGATGGCGTAGGCATTTTCTGGCAGAAATGTGCATTGTTGACCGATATTTCTCTACGAATCGACGATTAGCGTTTTTTTATGTTTATGGCTTTAATTATGACCGCAAGCATTTCAGCTATCTGTAAACAACTGTGATTGATTGATACTGTTAATCTATGTCTGTAAAACACCGGTTGTGGTGGAACTAAAACCACATTAATGTTTACCTCATCTTCCTTTACTTTCAAGTTTTCCACATCTTACTATTGATAATATAACGATAGATGAAGCAGTTATGAACTTAGCATGTCTTTCATTTTTTGGGTACCATTTGAGTTTTAATTTATAAGTAAAAATGTATGCAGAAGATTTACCTTAAAGTAAACTTTTAAACTAAGTTGTTTGTACACTGATGACGGCACTCTGTCGCAGTGGATTTTGGCTCTTTCATAAAAGTCTAAATGCAAATGCCTAATAATTGGATAATTCAGCCTTCTCAGCGACGATGTGCACTTGCTCTATCCGGTCCTGAATTTTCTCTTTTAAGCCATGAAATGCTCATCCTATTGCCAAACTCCAAAGATGGCATTAATAAAGTGTTGTCAAAACTACTAGCAACATCCCAAGAAGACCTTTTCGCCAAAATTCTTTCAAAATACTCCTACACCTTGTGTAACGTCACATTACGCCTTCCGAGGTTCAAACTAGAAGATCCAAAAAGCAAAGATTTAAAAGATGTCCTCTGCGCGATGGGCATGCGTTCAGCTTTCAGCGCAGCCTCAGCTGACTTCTCGGGCATAACTGGCTCCAGAGATCTTTTCATCGCAAGTGTTTTTCATAAGGCTACCATCGAGGTGAGTGCATTGCTTCTTTCCAGCGATTTTGTTACACCGTTAGGTCTGCGCCCAAATTAAAGTGCTTCTGACCCTTTTTCCTTTTAGGTAGACGAGGAGGGAGCCGAAGCAGCTGCTGCGACGGAAGCTGAAGAGATGCTCGGTTGCTCGTTCTGCCAAGTACCAAAATTTATTATGGATCATCCCTTCCTGCTCTTTATTGTCAGTGAATCAGGCCTGCCAGTGTTCATGGGTCACGTGGTAAATCCGGAGCCAAAACAGTGAATTGCCGCCTTTTTATCACCGTGGCCAGGTAGGTCGTTTTCATAGTCTTGCCTCCTAGTTATCTTTTCTATGACATCACAGTCCGTTTGCAGTTGGGGAGTGACTCAGTTGCGCTTATTATTTCAAAGGTTTCCTGATCTGGCCTTAAACACGTCTGAAATCATTGATATTCTGCTAATACCTTGTGAATGTCTCGGTGGGTTCCTTTACCAGGCCAGATAAGCCCCAACCCTCACTGTGCACTCAAGCCATCCAGATCAAGGCTCTTGGGTCCAGCTATGCGTGCGAGATCTGTCTTTTTTTCTCGGCTGCTTTCAAGAATGAATTGCGTCTGACTGAACTACTCTAGGTTTGCAACTATGTTAAGTCGGTATTGATTGTCGTTATTTTTTGATTTTCGCAGAAGCTGTTATTTGGAGACGCGAGGTGTGGCAAGAATTGGATATTGGATCATGAACAATTTAGATCACCATTTATGGATAACGCATACCATTCCCCTCAAGGGTTATGTTCTATCCATATCGAAAGGACTTGTTTGAATTAGTGCCCATGTTTACGAGGCAGAGATTTCGCGCCTACTTGGTCAGCTGGTTACTAACATTTCGACATTGCCCCTTAGATTAAGTATTCGATTCCAGGTAGCAAAGGCAGCTTGCTGATTTAGGAGCTTCGCTGTCTGTAGTGGCCGGAAATTGTCGCCAAGATGGTACTTTTAAAAAAATACGTCTTTATTGGAGCTGGCTTTTTCGACTGAAGACTTATAAAAGGTGGCTGACATCTGTGCCAGACAACCGAAAGTCATCGATGTGGCAGCTTCCTTCAGACGAAAAAAATCTTTCCTGCTTGCCATTAAGTCCTTTTCAACAAAGCCTTAGCGAATTATTCCAGCGAACTCGTGCACGCACAGTTCATGACCAATCTCATTTAAGTTTATGAGCTGCAATCTCAAATCGTTGTAGTGAGAGAACCGCCCGCCCCACCTCAACAAAAGTTATTTAGGATTAGAGGACAAGGGGATGGTATGAAACCCTTCGGGGGTGGGGGGCCGTGTGTAGCCACGAAACTTACACCAATCATTGGCATGCCTTAAATAAGAAATCACTGACTTTAAATCATGCCCTAAAACCCTTATTTTAGTGTCAACCATAAATCCGAACAACATCTTAACCTAACAGCCCTAGTCCCAAGAATAACTTAACTAACCAATACTTACTGTGGGCTTTACCCTAAACTTGAGGCCTTAACGGGAAATATTAATGCCTACAGCGCGTGGCCTATCTCATGAAATGTCGGCTGAAATTCTGAAATGCGTTTTCAATTAGGAAGGATTTCTTGGTGGCGGTTGTGATACTGATTATCTTAAGGCATACTCTTTTAACATTTTGGACTCGGCAGGATGTCGGCTTTTAAATGCAGTTCTTTTCAATCTCCTGTAGAAAGCGTGCTCGATTTAAAATGACTACTTAAGTAGCAGGCATTTTTCCTATTGATTTTCGATGGTCTTGGAAATTCAATTATACTTGTAGAAACCACGAACAAAAATATGCTTTCTGATCAGAAGAAGAAGCGATCGCTGGAACAATGGCTTTTTTCGTCTGACGTTTCGGACTCTCTCTTGAATCCATCATCAGAGACAGTTGCAGAAAAGGGTGGTTAGTGTACAGGAAGTCGCAGTATTTATAGGATGCGGTCGCCATGCTACCGCATACCTACAGCAATTAACCGTGCTCACTTCATCAAGGATTGTTGCCCGCTGGTGCGCTAATGGCTTGGTGGCCGGCATGCAAGTTGTTAATTGCTGACATCTCATCACCCGTGTTGGATGCTGGCGTGATGATTGCTCGGCCATCTGGCTCACGTGCTTGCGCGCTCCTCGAGTGGTCAATTGCTTTGGCCAGTCTATGCCTCTATGCCTCCATATTCTGTCCTGAGGCATAGACTGGCCAAAGCAATTGACCACTCGAGGAGCGCGCAAGCACATGAGCCAGATGGCCGAGCAATCATCACGCCAGCATCCAACACGGGTGATGAGATGTCAGCAATTAACAACTTGCATGCCGGCCACCAAGCCATTAGCGCACCAGCGGGCAACAATCCTTGATGAAGTGAGCACGGTTAATTGCTGTAGGTATGCGGTAGCATGGCGACCGCATCCTATAAATACTGCGACTTCCTGTACACTAACCACCCTTTTCTGCAACTGTCTCTGATGATGGATTCAAGAGAGAATCCGAAACGTCAGACGAAAAAAGCCATTGTTCCAGCGATCGCTTCTTCTTCTGATCAGAAAGCATATTTTTGTTCGTGGTTTCTACAAGTATAATTGAATTTGCAAGACCATCGAAAATCAATGGGAAAAATGCATGCTATTTAAGTCGTCATTTTTTACCAAGCACGCTTTCTACAGAAGATTGAGAAGAAGTGCATTTAAAAGCCGACATCCTGCCGAGTCCAAAATGTTATAAGAGTATGCCTTAAGATAATCAGAATCACAACCGCGACCAAGTAATCCTTCCTAAATGAAAACGCATTTCAGAATTTCAGCCAACATTTCATGAGATAGGTCACACACTGTATACTGCTGTCGGAGATCGCAACATGCTTCCCGCAAAATCTCTATCAAAGTTGTCGATAAAAAATCCATTGTGAAGCATATCCACTTAGAAAAAGAAGGTATGCTTTTGAGCGACCACCAAGAGGATTTACATACCCTACTCATAATGGTTAAAATACGATCGGGCTTTAAAATGAGGCACATTCCGGGTTGCAGAATATTATTTATTAATCAAGAACTATTGAAAATACTAGCTATCGACTCACGCGGCAGCTCTGAGGCTGCCAATTTTCTTATCCGCTCAAATTCAGCTTCGGACAGGAACTGCTTCGTCCTCTTTGTTGCACGGCGTGGCGTAAAAAAGGTGGCGGCATTTAGCGCGCAATCTGTGTATTCCTTTGTTAGCCCAGTAATTCCAGGTTTAGTAAAAGGAATACTGTCGAACCAGCTTATTACTGCGTTAAAAAAACATAAGACGCTACAATTTAGCTGAATTGAATTTGTAAACAGTAAATGGCTTCTTTTTTGTGAAAATAAGGGGTTTTTACATACACGCTTTGATCTAATGAATTCATGATCACAATTTCTGCTATTGGAGTGGATTTGTTTTATATTTTTTTCTGCCATATGAATGTTCTTTTATAAGGCCCAGCCCGGTTTTAATAGGTGTTACTTATTAGCATAGGAAATAATTTGAACATCCATAAACGTAAAATCTGTATAATATCTTCCTTATCCTGACGTATTTACCCAAAATGAAATAAACTTATCATGAATTATTTAGAAAAAGCTTTTTAGGATTTCAATCAATTCTAAAAATAAAAATAACTACACCAGATACGTGTCGTACCACCAACTCAAATTCCGATCTCGGCATTTCATGAGTTCGGTCGTCGACTTTATCTATAAGAACTGGTTTCTAAGCATTCTCATCGATCTGGTCTACTAGGTAGTTATACGAGCACTTTAAACTAGCTCATTCAGTTCCCCAGTTCGAACGAGAGTGACAGTGACTTTTGTGCGTTCACCCAGGGGAATCACATACCCTACTCATACCTATTAAAAATACGATCAGACTTCAAAATGAAGCATAGTGTGAGTTATGCAATATTATTTATTAACCGGGAAATATTGAAAATACTAGCTAACGACTCACGCCGCAACCCTTCGGCTGCCAATTTTTGTATCCGCTCCAATTCAGTTGCCGATGGGAACTGCTTCGTCATCTTTGCTGTCCGGCGTGGCGTATAAAACTGGCAGGATGTAGTGCGCAGTCTGTATATACGTGTGTACGCCTAGTCGCCCCAGGTGTAGGGAAGCAAATGCTGTCGAGCAAGCTCATTACTGCGTTAAACACCGCAAAAATTTACAATGTTGCTGAATTTAATGCGTAAAATAGTGCGTTTTTGCATGCGTGCCCTGATCTGATTGTCATGAACTCAAGATCACAATTTCTCCTTTAGGAGGTGATATTTTGCATATTTTCCGGGCCATAGGAATGTTCTTTTATAACGCACGACGTGGGTAGGAAGTTTTAATAGATGCTACTTATTAGCATAGTAAATAGTGTGCACATACAGGGGAGTCAAATATTCATGATATTTTCCTAATCTTTGCCTACTTACTTCCAATGAGAGGAAACTCTCATGAATTCTTGAGAAAGGGCTCACTAGGATTTCAATAAATTTTAAAAACAAAAATATCTACATTAGAAATGTGTCGCACCACCAACTTAAATACGGATCTCGGCATGCCATGAGTTCGGCCGTCGACTTTATCTGGCATAGCTGGTTACCTAGAATTCTTATAGATCTCGTCCACTAGGCAGTTATACGTGCACGCTGAAATAGCTCATTGAGTTCCGAGATCGAACGACAGTGACTATTTAGAGACAAAGGGGCCACAGCGCCTGATGGATGACAAAGCTTAGCTGCACTGACTCCAGCATCTAGAGACTTTTTATCACGAATTCAAGAGTCAGCAGCAGACGATGGTTATATTTCACAAGGAATTTTTGCCCGTGTCGGTAAAAATTGTGGTCACACTTAATAAACAACTCGTTAGTCCGTCGAAAGCGACAAGACTCACCACAGTCCTTGAGGGGGACAGAGCGCCGAACTACGCTTGAATAGCGACGCGGGCTAATTGTCCTAACGACTTTTGGATGAGCGATGTGTGGCGCCTTTCCGGCTATTGAAGTGAATACGCGCTTTTATGTCTAGTGGGTGGTATAATCGAAGGCTAAACTATACCGTCGTACTGGTAATGATAGCATATACACGCGTGATCCGACTCGAGGTAGCATAAGCCGTCGGCTGACTTAGGACCTTGGCAGAGACGAGAAGTGTACATCCTTTGTGAAGTCTATTTTTCGCAAGGATCTCATCCGCACCACGAAGAGCGGCCTTGTGTAACCTCGGGTGTGGAGCTTCCCCCTGTCTCTCATGTAGTTGAACGGAATTTGTGCGCAGGAAGTACCCCGACGTCTGCGGTGGTGACAGTTAGGAAATCAAATCCATACGGTTTTTGGTCCTAGTGTTACAGTAGTAACCTTGAGTCTAAATAAATTCAGCAGCTACATGACTGAGCACAGGGAGTCCAGACGAACAGAGACTTGGCCAGGGGACACAGGCAACGGCAATTCTAGTCCTCCTGTTATTGTGTCATCGTTGGAAGAAGTTCTAGCAGTACGCAGGACATTTGGTTGGATATAACTTACCCTTTCTCCTCCTTATGGTATTAATTCTGATGATTACTTACCTCCCATTCGATAACTACTTAACAGATCAAATCATTCCAACTACAACCCCTTTCTTTGCTCCATAGCCAAAATCGCTTCGACTGAATTTTTTTCAGAATATCCTTCTTTTTCCAGTCCTTCGCGTCAATCGGGATGTCGGACGTCATACTGCTTGTTTTGCCTTTGAAATATGACTCTTTCACTTTATTCGCCTCGTTTTTTATGTGATCAACCAAATTTTCTAATGATCTTCCCCAATTAAACGTAAACAACGTCCGCCTTCCTTTATCCCACTTATTCTGACTTTGCATTGGATTTTTGGATTGGGTAGGAAAATCGGTATGATTTGCGCGTTGGTTTTATGGGTCACTTTGAGATTACTGTTATTTCTATCGGGCAAGTAGTCAGTAAAATAACAATCCCACGCGTTCCTAGCCGACCTCATTTTAGAAAATTGCATGCATCTTCTCATCTTTGTGCGGCCGGATTAATTAGTCGATTTCAGTCACCCGGGGTTATACAAATATAGTCGGCGACATAACTGTCATAAAAAGAAATATTTTTCTGCCTTCCTTTATCCCATTAATTCGGACTTTTCATTGGATTTTTGGATTTGGAAGGAAAATCAGTATGTTTTCCCGGTGGGTTTTATGGTTCACTTTGCGAGCACTGTTAGTTCTATCGGGAAAGGAGTCAGTAAAATATCACACAGACGCGTTTGGAAACTGTTCCTCAGCGACCTCATTTTAGAAAACTGCATGCATCTTTTCAGCTTTGTGCGGCCAGATTAATAAGGCGATTTCTGTCACCCAGGAGTTATACAAATATTCTCGGCGACATTACTGTCATAAAAAGAAATATTTTGCTGTTGGCCGCTGAGTGTCACTGTTCTGTGGTTCAGTTATCCATTTCGCCCCACTTCCTCAAAGACATGTCGATCGACCTATGCAAGTGTTTCCTTCGAGCAATTTATTTGCAGGCTACGTTCACGGCATGATAAATCTAATTGCCGGGGAGAGGGGGGCGGGAGATGACTGTGAGTTAGACCAAGCGCATATTCCTGTCGCAGGCATTCTGTTTTAAGTCGCGTGTTGTCGTAACCATATTGTCTCGGGTAATCTCCATAGGTGCGCATCCCCTAAGGGTCATAGGTGCATGCTTTGCAGTTTAAATCATCTTATTGTCTAAGAGTGATTTGTAATAGCAGCCGGTTTCATGAGACGAAGATGCGATCACTGCAACAAGAAATTGATTAGTCTGACGTTTCGGATTCTCACTCGAATCCATCGTCAGAGACAATCGCAGATAAGGTTAATGGAAGCACAAGGGATGCAGCATATATAGCACGTTGCCGTCGTGGAAGCTTATGCGCAATGTAATTAACAGCTCTCATAACCACCGCTGGATCGTAATTGATGCGATGATGGCGTGTCAGTCCGCGTCCGAGTCGTTAATGGCCATGAATTCGTATATTGTGTTGGATATGGGTGTGACGATTGCTCGGCAAATTGGTTTACTGTCACTGGAATGTTTCCTCGTTCACGCTCTCCCCACATGACTGATTTACATTCCCAGGGAATGCCTTTAGCACAGTATATGGTAGCGGAAGATCACTGCTGTGTTGGGTGAAGGCACCATTTGATAGGTGTAATCTGCAGTTGCGAAAGAAACTGTGGTAATTAACACTTACTCCAATTATTCCACAGTTAGCGCAGGTTTATGAACGACCAATGTAGCCCTCGTTCTTAGGGCGATTCGGAGTTGGACAGTCCTGAGGCGAAGATGACGGAGCGGCGTCGCATGTGCAGTTGGTTTGTGGTGCTTAATATGCAGTCATCATCACATTAAATGCACTGCATTCCGAGTCGCCACACTACTGCTTCGAACTTCACCCGTGCGATCAAAATTATCTGACAGTCAGTTCGGCAGAGGATATCATCTTCAAGCTGGTCGTCTCTATAAGCATCCACCAACATAGGGAAAAACACGTGGCTGAAGACAGTGACAAAGAGAGCGTACGCAACCCTGCTTAAACGCATTTTTTCACCAGGAAATTTTCAGAGGTTGATTTAAAAGCCATGACGACAGTTACTGTCTCATCGTTACGTCTCCTGACCATCGGCGTGGGCCACTATGGATAATCGACATTTACCGAGATGTTTTTGCGGCCACTTCTGTGAACATCATGTTGGCTTATTCAAAACAGTTCAAGAGTCTATTTATTGATTATATTAGACGTCCGAGTTTCAAGTTTAAATTCAACCCTACGAGAAGAAATGTCTACCAGGAACACGTATATTGCTTTGTCGGTGTTTTGCGGAGCTTGTTCTGCTCAATATTTTCGAAACGTTGCATGCTTAACCAGTTCACACGATGGCTTAATATTTATCCACTTACTTATTTTTGGCTTTTTCGGTTTTCTTTGCATAGTATTTCACACAAGGCGAATTCTTTCCGAGTAAGGAAATTCGGGTATTTGTCTATGCCTTAAAGAAGATATTATTTAGAATTGGCAAAATTCTGCAATAGATATGGAATGTTTTACTTTATGAGAGCAATAATAAACAGACGTGAACGATGCTGTACTTGTAATCATTAAGCGGTCTTAAAAATTTCAAATTAAAAAATTTTAAACTGAAGATCACTATTTCTTTGGGTATAAAATCTGAAGGAGCTATTGTTTTTCACTAATTGAGAAAGGGAAAGTCTATTTTTATACAAGAATTTTTTGAAATTTGTTTGAGTTAATAAGACCATCAAAAGCTGTGTGAAACATAAATACTGAAAAAGCGGTTAATTTTGCCGAGAAAGAATTTTGTAGTATGCGGAAATGGGATGCATTCAAAAGACAATATTCTGACAAACCAAAAATAATATAGGAGTGTGTAGCATGATAATGAGTGCTACTAGCCCATCAAAGTAACCCTTCTGAATCTGAAACGAATTTCAGAATTTCCGTTAAAATTTCACGAGATTGGTCATCCACTGAACATTTGCAGATTTTTAATCTCCACAGACCAGTCACAGACGCGTTACGACGCACTATTCATAAGCTTCCAACAGGTAGCGGGTATGCTACGCACTGATACATTTATCAGCTGACAGTTTTACCTACAGTGGCATTGCTTTCTGCTAGCAGATCATGGTGCGTTCGAACGTACTGCGCATGCTTGATTCACAGGCATACGCTACGCCGTCTACTGATGAGTGCGGTTTAATCATCCGCGATGAGAGACCTTTGTGCTGTAGCAATAACCATAACTACAGAACAAATATATATTAAGAACAAATTTAACTCTAAGTGGGAAATTTTGCGTTTAGCCTAGGAATGATTACGGAGAATAACCGCATAGGTGAATCGTTGTGCAGACTTACGAAAGTAAGGTGGTCTATAGTGCAGGTTGCTATAGAACGTGAGGCTCCTTTTAGAGTATCTCGGAAGGTTTCGAGCTGGCCCTCCTTAATAGTACGTGTCTCCCGTATGAGTCAACGTCCGGCAACGTGTGACCGAGATACAATTTCTAAATGTCTATCACGTTTGACTTAAAGCGCTTTAGGTCCACAAAGTGATCTATGAGCAGAGGTATCAGTCCTGAATGATTGTTCAGAAATCGTAACCATTTCAGATATACTAGCCTGAAACTGTCGCTCGCATGAGTCCACGTCCGGCAAGATGTGACCGAGATGCAATTTCCAAATGTTTATCACGCTTGACCAAAAGCGTTTCAGGCTCATAAGTAATCAACGAGCAATGGTATCAGTCTCTGAATGTTTCTTTGGAAATTGTTACCGTTTTAGAAATACTAGCCTGAAAATATTGAGGAATATTTCAAAAAGTCCCGACGCTTCTAAATAGCAAACCGAAAAAACGTACTATCAGATGCAAAAGTAAAAACATTAAACAAAGTTTAAGGAAGGAGCCAAAAGCAATTTTTCTGCAAACTAAGAAATTCCATCGATAAAGAGGAAGGTTATAGAACACGAGGGGAGGTAACTTTCAATTTCATTATTTAACTGAATAGAGTGTGATTCAATAAGTAACTATTTATTGGCCCTGATGTCCATAGCCGGTATGGGGACAATCAATAACCGGGGACGCGTTGTGCCATGAAACATCACGGAAGGTTCAGTCATCAAAAGTATCACATGAAGAAGAACTATTAGCAACCTCCGGTTGTATTCTGAGTTTGATCGACTTGCCTTTTTGGTTGGCGGTTTCTCAGGCTACAACTGAGGGCGTATCGTGAAAGATTGAAGTCCTAGGCAGGAGTGAACTGAGTTTTCATAAAAAAGGTACCTCGCACCGAGCACATTTGTTTGTCCCCTCCTATGCATCAATAGACTGTTCTGGCGATTTGACGTGGATGCCACAATATTATGATGCGATTGATCCTTTATCAAGCGTAGAGGAGAAAAGTCCAATCGCGTGAAAAAATCGAATGAAGAATAGGTCGTGCTTTGTTTGATTTCCGAGGAAATAGATGCGCAAACTTGGAGTAAATCTTTTTGAACAGATTCTTTCAGGCACGGTCCGCATTGTGACATTACATTTTTGAGCTGTGGTCCTTCAGCTACTGCGGAATAACTGTGTAATATTCACAAACTGCCAACAGGCAGCCAGGAGAATAGAATTGTGTAATTATTTACTGCACTAACAACACGATTATTACGCAAAAACCAAGAGACTCTCGTTTTGGTGATACGGTGCCGCTGCCTGACACAGCTGGTGTTTTTATTGCCAGAAAACATACGGGGAAATCTGAGGGACCCACTGATGATCCGAACCTTCTCGGCAGGGAGCGCCAGGCAGCGGCACTAGGCTAGCGAAACACGCGTGTCTGGGCTTTTAGCCAACTCTTTTGTTGTTCGTAAGGTAAATAATTACACAATTCTATACTTCTGGCTACCTGTCGGTGGTTTGTGAGTACTACGCTGTTATTCCGCAGTAGCTCATGGATTTCAGTCCAAATATGCACATGGAATTTTGGACCGTGTCTGAAAAAAGTCTGTTTCAAAAGGTTCAATCCAAGTTCGCGCATTAAATTTCTCGGAAATTAAACAAGGGAAGACTAGGTCCGTTTTCTTTATTTCAAAACATATTGTCAAATTTGCTCTACTAATATCTTTCACATATTTTTGCTGCATTTGGCAAAACGTGGGGGCGAAAAATTACGAACACTTTTTGTTATAAGGACTATGAACTTCATATAAAAGTTTCTGTCCGGACTTAAGAATTGTCAAATATGAATGATCTCGGCACTTGTCAATAGACTTTAATGATTACTGCGTATACACAGGCATATCTTGGTCTATATCATGATCTTATAAGTAACAACGCTTCCGATAAACGCAAACTGTTTTGCGTGCTGCTTTGCAGCTCACCTTGTAAGGGTGCGCAGTGACTTGTTTTGAAGTTCCCTGTGGCAGCGGAAAGTTATGCAACCAGGTGCAATGGGCAACAGTTGGCGCGGTGAAAAACAAAACTTACCGTGAAATGATCCTTGCCAACTTCCCATTTGCCTTGTACGTGAACTTAGCGGCCGCCACCCGGAAAGGTCTGCCCTTCTTGCAGGTTTGTGTTGGTTTGAATTCAAGCACAGACGGTTGACATGAGACGTTTTGAGAGTCGAAACAGTTAATCTCAAACTGCCTTCAAAACAGTGAGTCGATATATTGGCGGTAGACCCAAGGTAAATTTTCCAAACCTGCGTTAGCGGGTAGCTTTAATAGGAGATGGCTAAAGTAAATATGCTAATTTTGAAATTTTTGCCGAAACTGTAAAATCAAATCTAAAATAATTTAGTCACCCCCTGGATATCAGTTGTCGAAAGAACGTTTTTCCGTCGCATTTAAAAACTATGCTCTGTAGAAATTGACAACATCTATACCATGAAGTTTTACCCTGAATATACGATGTCCTTAAACGTTCGATTGGTTTTTATGCAAAACGTGCGAAAAAATATTCACTCTTTTATAAATGTTTCTGACAATCACGTCCTCTTCAAGGTTTCTACTTGAAGGAGAAATAAAACTCAGTTTTAAAAAAAATTAACCGATTCCCGACCGCAAAAGATTTGATGTAAGGTAGTCAATCAGTGTGCTGCACTGCAGTACACGACCATAGGTCGCAAGAAGGCCATTGCAGGAACCCCATGACCTGGGCTATGAGACTAACGCATTCTCTATATTCTATAGATGTTTCACCTACTGGCCGTCGTAGTTGCAATCATTTTGACAATTAGTAGGCAACAAAATGTGTACGAACAACGTTAGATTCAAGGATTACTTGATATCATTGCCAGTGGAATCATACCCTCAAGGCATAAATGATCTTGCCTATCGATGGGACAGATGCGCAGATGTTCAATCAACCTACTCAGACTACTTCTAAAATATGTAGTGCCAACTTTATCAAGAATGGGTACTTGATTTTAAAATCTGCCAGTATGCTCTAAGCAGACTACCAGCGAATAATCATTGATAAATATGGGAATTATTAAGGATCAGAGTCTGTCAGTGTTTAGACAGTGAGACGGTTGTCAAACGCAGTGATGCTGAGAGAGGCAGTTGATTATCACATTTTTTATAATAATTTAAATTCTAAATGGGCTTTTGGTCGACCAACTAGCCGCAGATCCCTACCAGGTTCTTCTTAGTCTGCCAAAAGTTGTTATAAATCGCGATTCTGTAGAAAAAACCACTCAGTGATCTCGAAGTAGAAGACTCCGATGACACTAATTTGCATCGTGACTTTTTTGAAGTAACCTGTGGCAGCGGCGTGTGATGCAACCAGGTACATGGAGCAACAGTTTGAAGGGTGAAAAACAAAACTTTCCTTGAAATGATCCTTGCCGCGCCCGGAAAAGTCTACCCACCTTAACCGGTTTGAGTTGGTCTGAATTTAAATGCAGACGGTTGGCATCAGATGTTTTGACAGTCGAAACAGTTTTTGCGAAATTAAATTCAAAGTAGAGAGTTGATATTTTTATGATGGACTTGAGCTGATCTTTCCCAATATGCGTTGTTAAGTTGCTTTAAGAAGAGAGGACCACATTAAAAGCTCCAATAAAACTACCTAATATAAGCATCCACAAAAACCCCAGTGTGAAAACAGCCTCTGCATTTGAATTGTACGGATTAGCAAGCGGTCCATCAGGCCTTTAGTGAGAGATCGATCACAATAAATGCTGACCACAATTCTGGAATGCGTTTTCAATAAGGAAAGGTTAGCTAACTGGGGTTGTAATGGAGCTTAGCCAACGACATAATCTTGTGATATTTCGGACTGGCTAGAAGAACGGCTTTTGAATGCACTCCTTTTTAATGACCTGTTGAAATTGTCCTCGGCAAAAAATGACTACTTATTTGCCATGCATTTTTCACACTGATTTTAGATTGTCTAGCAATTTCAGATACATTTTGAAGAAAACATGCACAAAATATGCTTTCTTTTACTCGTTTGGTAGAAGATCCCGTTGTCTATATATTTACACCGGAAATATGAGGTAGCTATAGGTATTAAAGAAGTTTCTTATTATGAGCCTTTCTACAACTGCAATGTCCATTAATATTGCATCGTACACGTCCATTTACCAACGTTCCTCATGAAATGTGCAACATGATCCGCATCCATCGCAATATTTTATAATTTTTATATGGATTTGCCTTAAAGGCATAGAGGAATATATGATTTTTCTTAAGCGGAAAACATGCACTTTGTAGACGGAATTTGTTAAATGTTGTTGCAAAGGCTGATCAGGCTCAAAATTTTTCGGAAATCAACAGACTTTTTGGCAACATATATGAAGCCTTTCGTCGGATATAAAATGTGAAGACACAAGATTTTCTACCAAACCAGCAAAAGAAGGCATATTTTGCGCACATGATAAACTCAAATAGAACAATTTGGGCACACAAAATTTTAAATAACTGACAGGGTGTGCAGTGGCTTGTTTTGGAGTCTTCTGTGGAGTCGGCACTTGATGCACTCAAGTGGAAAAAGAAATATTTTTTGCATTCCCCCCGCTCCCTCGAAAAACCGGTAACAGTGATGTGTAGATTATAAAGGATAAAGATTGCTTTAAAAACCCCACGTCAGGATGCGGGAATGCGAACGCACGTCACGAGTCAGTTATGCTGTCCGGATCACAAATGTAAGAACAGTGTGAGCTTTCAAAGTAAAGCGACCCAAAAGGCGACTGCTGAAATCGTTAGTGGGCAAAGAAGCCGAGTCTAAAACGGAGAAGGCAACCTGATGTATGACCAATCCGCCGTGATATTGGAGAAGGTCTAGAATCCCCACAAAAGCACTAGCTGACAGGACACGGGGACAGTAATATAACAATCCTTACGGTAAACGTATCCGTAACCTCAAAAGTAAACCAACTCTTTAACATACTTATGATCTTAACGCTAACAATAACTCAAACTTATCCTAACACTAATAACAAAACCGTAGCCGGTAGGACGATTGTGTGTAGCCTGGACTGTGCAAGGCGAAGGAGGGGTTCCTGTCTTACGGGATCGGTGGGAAGGGGGGTTTTTAGGGTGGGGTAAACGGGGAACCCATCAAGGAGTTAAAAAAAAGTAAAAAAAGAGGTTTAAAAAGAAAATAACAAAGTTTGTTTGAGGTGAAAATGTGCCGAAAATTCAAAACCGAAGCCGTAACTAATGGGAGCAATATACCCAAGGCCATTCGGCTGAAGGTGCCCCATACAATACTGCCACTGAGGATGAATCCTGGTCAAATGCTAACGACAAGTAGGGCAGTGGAAAATGAACACGAAGAACGGTAAGTATGAATTCAAAATACGGAGGACGGAAGCCGTATTTATTAATTTGTTCAATAATTACCAAACGTTTCCCACTTATAGAAGGGTGACAGCAAAGAAGAAACGTAAGCCCGCTCCGCAAGCTAATAATGCCATCGGAGATTGAACAGATCCTGGATATTATCCAGTCCCCATATGTAGTGCAATAGTTACAAGCTGAACGAGTCATGGCGACAGAAGCCAGATGTCGCTGTCGTAAACCGATGCCGTTGCGAATATTGCGTCAGCACACAGACGGGTTTGCCTTCAGGTACACGAAAATATTAATATAATGCATTGCCTAGGTGTAACAAATGTGGTACCAAAAGGGCACTGAGAACTGGTTCGGTGTTTAAGGATAGTCGCCTGACTTTATCGAAGGTCCCATGTGGCTGAAGCCTATCCAGTCTCAGAAGAGCACTCGGAAATCGAGATATGTAGCAGCTGACCGGAAAGGTAAGCAGTGAGATGTTAATGATGTTGTACACATAGTGCAATAATAGCGGCCAGTGGAATAACAGCCAGAGAGAACAACTGAACGGCCAGGCAATGGACATTTTGGCCACTGAAAACTGGTACAACGGAAACAGTTTGTAATTCTTTCATATTCCGCACTGAAATAGTGAATTCCTTACTATACCTCTCAACCTTTTTTTCCCTTTTGTCCCATAACCCCAGCCGAAAATGCGCCAACGGGGATTGAAATCGTAGTATTTGAAGGGATTGATGGAAAACCTATGAACACCCTAACTTCCGATCATGACCAATCCGAAGGCTACTTCGTAAGTTCGCTGACCGTCAAACCGATGAATGATGTACGTCTAACAGGAAAGCCAAACCTACTGGTCACCGCAAAGCGACCAAACCGCCCAACCACACGGGCGTACGAAATCGAACGAAGCGCAAGGGGAAAGCGAGCGAAAGAGACCACAAAGAAACCCCGAGGGCCGGGTGGATACCTAAGCCCGTGAAAGTGCAAGGAAAGGCCAAACCCCTATGGTTGGTTAACTGTTCCAAGCGGGCTGCGGTTGGGTGTGGGGAGGGGAAGTGAGCCGTACGGCAGGCAAAGAAAACAAACGGCAAGCGGCCTTAGGAGAACGCACAGAAAGCCAGCAACCGGGTTAAACGCCTGTACGGCTAAGCCATGAAGGGCTAGTGCAGCCCCTGAAGTATGTAGAAAGGGCAGGTGCACTAGCGGGGCAGACCTGCACCGATGAAGTGCACCCAACGCCTACGCGCCTAGCCAACTCACGCGGTAACCGCATGGAACGCGGTATGGGAGGCCCCCCCCCGCCATCGAATACAACGGGGTTGTTTCATAAAAGGGGGGATGTAGGGTAGCGATCTGTTAACACGAATGAAGCAGCTAGCAATTAGAAGGATAATGGAAAACGTGTTGAATCGCAATTCGCATAGGTTAAGTCTTTCACCTTTTACTAAAGGATTCCGTGTGGGGGGTGCAATACAGTGAGCCCATATAGACAGCCTTGCAGCGCCTCGTTCTCGGGGCGGTTAAAGTGAAGGAGAAATTCATCCTGACAGAACCTCTACGCCATATCATGCAAACGTAGCTGGAGTACCCAGTCGTAGTAATGTAGCAAGCGCGCTAAGTGGCCGATGAGCGGGAATGTGAACGTGAGCAATATCATACAGCATAACCGCCCTTCCTTCGTCCTATTGGCAGCTGTAAGTATATGCGGGAGGTATGGCAATGGCACCACATCAGAAGACAAGGTATCCCAAAGCGAGGTAGAATACATTACACCCGCGCGGCCGACACGCCTGAAATATGTAACTTAATAAAAGCACGCCTACTGATAAGAAGCAAGTACGTCAACAAAGTTGACTCATAATCCCAGGCTACTCAGAATTGTCTCACCTCGTGGCCGTTATCCTAAGCCTAACCTCAACCGTGACCCTAATCCTAATACTTATCTTAACCTTAACCTGTACCCTTACGTTGACGTAGCACAACTCTATCCCTAACGCTATTTCTTACCCCAACCTTAACACTAAACATAAACCCTAGCCATGATCCAAACCTAAGCCACCTTTAACCGAGACCGTTGCAATTACCTTGACCGTAATCCCTAACACTAGCACTTACAATCACCCTAACCACAAGCCTAACACTTAACTTAAGCCTCAAGCGCAGTTTAGACGCTTGCTCTAACCAGAACCCTTAAATTTAACTCAAACCCCGTAACCTTAACTCAATTCTCCGTCTGACACCAACCCAACCCATCAAACTAACCCCGCCTCTAAACCGAAATCTCAGGTTGCCATTTTCAGTTTTAGTTTTTGTCACCTTCCCCACTAACGACTTTAGCATCCTCCTTCGGTTTGCCATTCTTGCAATGCCCTTATTGCGGCTATAATTGGGACCCGGACGGTGTAACCGACCCTCTACTAAACGCCCTTCACTCGGCCCCCCATGTAAGTGTTCCCGTACATATTCCTTAACTTCTTACCTTCAACGTCTACGCACATTCTACGCAACCCCGTACAATCAGCCCTGATATTAGCTGGATTCTTAGCAATGACTTCGTTGGAATTCAGCCCAAGATAACCTGTTTTGGAGCGTCCCTTTTTCCCGTGTCCATCCTGGGGTGACTCCGTAAGAAATATTTGCTGTGTGGCATTCGAAGGAGTGTTTGAGCTGAGCTCATTTTTACTTAACCACAAACCGCGTAGTGGGGGTTACAGTTGAATACAATCACAGAAGGTTTTTGCTTAACTGCAGTTCGCATTACGACTCCGGCTTCAGCTGCTTTACGTCTACATGACTGCTCCAACTTTGCTGAGGGCCTGTTTATTCCTTTACCTATGTTTGGTTTGTTACAGTTCGCAACATTCGAAAGCGCGTTATGTGTAGAAATAAAGATAAAAAGTTTGATGTTTTCTTAAAGTTAATAGTGAACCAATAAAAGATGGGCTACATTTTGACAGGACAAAATCTGCAGGCAACAATATTCAAAAGGCAATCTGGTTAGCGTAAGTCTTCTTTCATTAGATTCTCTTAGTGCTCTTAAATTTATATTTAAATTGCAATAATGAATCGATAGATGCGTTCAAGTAGATAATTATGCTGTAGTTCCGGTTTGAGGAGGGAGGGGAGTGTGAAACCCCAGAATTCCAGTCAGCGCTGGGGCTAAGGTGGACTCAGGGCAATGTTGTTATTTGCGTGTGGTTGGCTTGGTGGTTTTGAACCTCGGCAACTGTAAAACCTGTTTGAAGATTTTCTGTGCACATTGGACCGGTTGGCGTAGCCTAATTGCAGCCGCCTCTGTCGTAGCCAAGAAGCGTTTCCCAAGTATTTTTGGGTAGCTTAACGACACCTAGTAAATCACTCGGAAGGCCTTTCTGGCGTCCATACGGTAGTATATGTCAAACTGGTGCGCAAGATTACAGCTGCCGATGTTCTTTATCCGACCTTTTGCTTAACATATAGGACAATGGTCTTTTACTCATTTTGGCAGACACCGACTTGAGCGGCTAATATAGTCTGCCCGTAGGAGCATATGTAGGCGAAAATACATATATATGCGGTCTGAGTCGGTAATTTGTCCTTGCTTCTCCGTATAGAATGGGACCAGTTAGGTATGTTCTACCAGAGAGGCCTTTCGATTGATTTACAAGGTGTTGTCAAGCTACTTGGCTAACGCCTTTCAGCTGCGACGGAGGTAGATGCAATGAGACTACGTTAACCGGTCCTACTCGCACAGAAGAACTTCGTACAGGTTTTACAGTTGCCATTGTCCAACGGCTCAAGAAAGCAATTAATGCGTACTTGTTAACTATGTGGATCCTGAAACAGACTCCGTGTTGGGCGTCCATTAACATGACAAAAATTGTTAGGCTGAAGGCGGTGGCAGCCAGTGATTAATCCTGATTCATTCCTTTGGCTTCTGCAAGTGCTCCTTAAACTTCCTCATTGTTCGTGACGCGCGCAATCATCCCGTCGTGAGACCGATGCCCTGTGTGCGTGAGCCTTGTAGGACAGCCGAATTTCTGTTTGATATTCTGCAGCCTATCGCGTCTCACGATGTCGGAGAACTACGTCAAGTCCAAAACGGTAGGATAAATGTGGATACGCTTTTCCTGCTATTTTATGCGGCTAGTTTGTAGTAAACCACACGTCGGTGTATCTTTGATGATGGTGGAAGCCACAACGGTTATACAGGAAAGTCACTGTTCGAGATGGCTGCTGGGAGGTTTGGGGATGAGGCATATGCGACGTTGCAGCAGTTTTCACTGAGTTGCCGGCCCTCTTTGCGCTTGTAGAGGTAAACGCTTGTCACGTCTTTGAAATTGTGAGGAATTTGTCCTCTTGGCGCGGCTTGCGCCTACACCTGTTCCTGCCACCACATCTCACTGATGGCATTCGTCATGGGTGCGCAATTGCCGAACCGAGCCGTGAATCCTCTCTGTTCTGCGGTCGTAAACTAACCTGCTTCGCTCAGCCTACTCGGTTTGCCCTTAATCGGTCCATTCTGCTGTTCTTGTGCAATGTGCATGATCTGGAGATGCTGTATTGCTATTGTTTGTCCCCAAAGCTGAAAACGGAACTACCGCCGTTGTATATAGGCCTCCAAATCAATCTGCCGACGAAGATCAAGCATTAATCAGTCGATTTCGCGAGGACAGTCAAAAGCAAAACATTAGTATTGTAGGTGTGCAGTTGTATATAACAAACTGGTGGGTAATCAGCAGAGTTTTTAAACGCCTTACCTATCATCCTAGCCAAACAAACTGAGACCGAAACTGAAGTAGTAACCAACAACTGAGTTTAGCTAAAACAGCTTTACTTCAAAGGTACACTTTAAACGCTCAGCCGACGTTTGCGCTTGCTTGACCATATTCAGCAAACTTTCTTCCTGCTTAAGAGTGATTCAGCGGAACTTGGAGTACGTCGGCACTACCTTTTCCGGAAATGTGGTTGTGGCGCAAATTAAGCGTTTTCACATGGAGTCTACCCGCAAATGTATTAACAGCGAAACAAGCCGTGCAGCCGAACGTTAATGACCTATGCAGCTTGAATGTCTGATTCTAAATTCTAACCTTGACTTTGTTTTCGAGCTGCAGTTGCTGAATGCTTTGGCATGGCAGCAAATAAAGCACAACTACCGCTATTTCAGGCTATCAATGTGAGGGTAATTTGGGCGCAACTTGAGACTTAGCTCTCGCTCAAAGTTCTTATGGGAAGCCTAAAAATTGAACAGATTCGTTATTGGGATCTACGTTCTTGTGACACCCAACCGCAAAAATAAGATCTTTGAAACCATCAAAGGTCATATTTTTCATAATTCGGCAAAATCCTGTTTGGTTGCCGTACCTGTTAGGGGTTGGGCTTGGGGTCGGAGGTTTTTGTAAAGATTAAGATGTATGGGGTCAATGGTTGGGAGTCAGGGTTAGGGGTTGAGGTTAGGGGTTTGGAGTTTGGGCAAGGAGTTGGGATGAGGGCTTAGGCCGGGGCTTATCTACTGCATGCATGGCCACGACACAAAATCCGACCAATTATTCTTTTAACTACGGAACATGTCACTCGGGGTTGTTCTTGTGCTGTAAAAAATGTTCACGGTGAATACGCATCTCGTTAGTTGTTGGCGAGGACGTACGTGGTTTGAAAAGTCTTCTAATATGGAATCCGGGCTGCCTTACTTAGCACGTAATGGCTCCGTTGGAAGGGTTCGAGGGCATGCTCCATCGTGAAGGACATGATGACAAGGAAACCCTGTTTCGATGGATAAGTTTGAAGAATGCACGGAAGCCTGCACGTAAGCGCAGGAAATACAATTTAATTGATGCCTAGAACTTGCTTTCGGCTCGAGGTCAGCAAGCAAACGTATTTTTGACTGTGGAATACGAAGCGTTCATCATGAGGGCCGCCATCTGGATATTTATGTGAACTCCGCGGTTTAAAGTAGTAACCAGTTCCCTAAATTTAGTCAAAACCAAGAAGGACACTTCGCACTCCTTGAAACGCTTGATTGCGTCTTCTAATTAGACGAAAAACATAGATCTGTGTCCATATAGGAGTTTTGACTTGTCTCAAACACGGGTTCCTTCGATAGCGCTGTGATCAACCCCCGTTGTCCAAAGGTTTTCTAAGGATCCGCTCGAAAATTTTACCAATTAGCGAACTCGAGTCACAGACCAATAGGAATTGGCGTGGAGTTGACCTAAAAAGTCGCCAATCAACCAGCGCGAGTCATAGACCAATGGGAATGCTTTCAGAGGCTGACGACCCTCTAAAAGATTCTCCTGCGAATGGGCCGGGCTGTTCATCGCAAAAATAAGTAGTACACTGCAGACTATGTCTGGTAATTGTTTTGGTTCTGTCTGTTAATTTTATAGGCACGACCGGCTACCTCGCTTTTGCGCAGAAAGTCTATAGCGAATTATTCAAAGCCTCGTCTGGTAAGTTCCATGACCATCACTAGTATGTACGTTTTGCAAAGGGGAAGCTGCAAATTGCTTCATATCGCCGATCAGTATATACTCAACTATTTCACTGGTTCTCGCTGGTAGCGACAAAGCCACCAGAGAAGAAATATCAAGTGCACTTCGTCTGGAACATACTGGAAGCCTTGGTGTTGCCATTAAATGTGCCGGTGATATTATAAAGGATGTTTTTGAGGACGATCAAGGCACAGAACTTATCCAAGCCAATGGGATGTTTGTACAGTCTGGTTTCGACTTGTTGGATTCCTTCCTGGAAACACTGCAAGTGTATTTCGCGGCATCCGCGGTTGAGGTATCTGCTTGGCAGTTTGGCAAATAAGTGTTTTTACAAGGTGGACTACATGAAAAACCTGGAGGGTGCTCGTCAAACGATTAACGATTGGATTCTACGTCATACGAACAAAATGATTCACAATCTCATTCCTGAAGGAGTTTTAAGTTCTGACACAAGACTGGTTTTAGCTAATGCTGTTCATTTTAAAGGTAACTGATGTATGACATCACTATGCTGCCCAAGGCATTTGGGATGAAAAGTTTGGACGTGAGAGTACCACGGACGGGGAGTTTTCTCTATCAGGTGGTAGGAAAATCAATATTCCCATGATGTGCTGTGACAGAGAACTATTAATTGCTCATTTTGACGAAGAGCTCGACGCCAAAGCTATCCGAATCCCATTCCTCTGGTGCGTTGAATGGGCCTATCTATTTCATATTCTGGTTAGATTTTGTCCTTTGCAGCATTGTTTGTGTTTTTTCTTGCGTAATAATCATACATAATTGAGATCATATTTTATATACGCACTCCTCAGCCTTCTAAGTATCTCGATTGCAAGTCGCCTGGTTGGTTTACCTTAATTGATTTTAAGGCTCTTGAATGTCTGACTGTTGTAGCTTTGCAGAATTTTCCTTGGCATTCTTTGGGAAGTTTCTGATGCGGTTTCGGTCACTCTTAAACTTCCTGCTGTGTTCGCTAGCACCCTCCATTAACTCACGTTGAATTTTTAAAAAAGTGTTCGACACTGAAAATTTCTGTCAAGAATTTAATTTGTTATTTTCAATTCGCGAAGCGGAATATTTCGAAAGAAAATATCTCGTGTTGGTATGTTTCGTAAATTAGCGATCCTGAAGTTTCACTGTCCATCTACCGTCATCTGATTTTTTTGTTTCATGAGTGGATTTTTGAGTCATGATTGCAGGTATTCTGGTTGCTAGACAATACGTACAATCTCGGGGGCGTGCATTAACTTTATCATATTGCATCGACTTAAAATTCTAATAAGCATTTCAGGAGGTTGCGGTCTTACCACGTACTCTGCCATTTATTTGTCAATCTGAATGTGATTGTGTTTTTTCTTATCTACCGCATATACCGAGTATCTGGATGCGTTGTTGAATTTGGAGAAAGTGTAATTTGTAGGCCAACTGAAGTGAACCATTGAAGACGCATACTCATGAAGTTATTGGGAATTGCGGTGCATAAGGCTGTGTAGGCATGTTTTGACAGAAATATGCAATGTTGTCCGATAGTTATCGACGATTCGACGATAACCGTTTTTATTTTTATGTCTACAATTATTACCACCTCCAAGCATGCTGTCTTTAAACAACTGTGAGTGATTGATATCGCTCGTATACTTTTGAAAACACAGGTTGTGGTGGAACTTAAACCACACTAATGTTTGCCTCATCTTCCTTTACTTTCAAGTTTTCCATTCCTTACTATTGTTAAGATAGGGATTGGTGGAGTAGTTATGAACTTAACATGCCTTTTAACATTTGGGTAACAGTCGATTTTTAATTTATGAGTAAAAATATATGTAGAAAATTTAATTTTATTAGTATGAGATTAACTGTATCTGTCGCTATATCCTTGACTGGTACTTTTAGACTTTTCCTACGATTGAAATTCTTCTGTATTCAATGTCTTACATAGGATCGGCTCCTTTTTAAACTAAATTATTTGTACACTGAAGAAGGCACTCTCCCGCAGTGGATTTTGACCCTTCCATGAAAGTCTAAATGCGAATGCCTAATACTTGGATAATTCAGCCTTTTCAGCGACGATGTGAAATTGCCCTATCCGGTCCTAACTTTTCTTTTTTAAGCCATGATATGCTCATCTTATTGCCAAACGCCAAAGATGGCATTAATCAAGTGTTGTCAAAACTACTGGCGACATCCCAAGAAGACCTTTTCGCCAAAATTCTTTCAAAAGACTCTTACACCTTGTGTAACGTCACACTACGCCTTCCGAGGTTCAAACTAGCAGACCCAAAAAACAAAGATTTAAAAGATGTCCTCTGCGCAATGGGCATGCCTTCAGCTTTCAGCTTTGACTTAGCTGACTTCTCGGGCATAACTGGCCACAGAGATCTTTTCATCGCCAGTGTTTTTCATAAGGCAACCATCGAGGTGAGTGCATTGCCACCTCCTACCATTAACTAAATACTGCAAACAGAAATTTTGTTACACTGTTAGGTCTGCGGCCAAATTAAAGTGCTTCTGACCCTTTTTCCTTTTAGGTAGACGAGGAGGGAGCCGAAGCAGCTGCTGCAACGGAAGCTGAAGAGTTGGCAGATTGTTTGTTCTACCCAGTACCACAATTCATTGTGGACCATCCTTTCCTGCTCTTTATTGTCAGTGAATCGGGCCTGCCAGTGTTCATGGGCCATGTGGTAAATCCGGAGCCAAAGCAGTGAATTGTCGCCTTGTTATCAGCGTGGCCGGGTAGGTCGTTTTACACTGCCGTCTTGCCTTCTAGTTATATCCTCCACGTCATCCGAGTCTGTTTGTATCTGAGGAAATAAACCGTTACATTCATTATTTCAAAGGTTTCCTGAAGTGATCTAAAGCACGTCTGCAATCATCAATATTCTGCTAATTAGTTGGGAATGTCTCAGTGGGCTTCTTTACCAGGCCAGATAAATCCCAACCTCCAATTTGCACTCAAGCCATCCAGGCCTAGGCTCTCGGGTCCAGCGATGCGTGCGAGATCTGCCTTTGCCATGGCCGCTTTCAATAATGAATTGCGTCTGAATGGCCTACCCTGGGTGTAAAACTAATGTAAAGCCGACTTTGGCCGTTTTTTGGTGTTCCGGAAAACTGAAAGCCAAAGATGTAGCTATTAAGGCCTTTTTAGCAAAGCTTCAGCGAGTTATCCCTTTAAACCCGTGCCAGCACAGTCCATGACCAATTTCATAAAAGTTTATTAACCGCCCATCCCGCCTCAAAAAAAGTTATACTGGATTATTATCTCTACCATAAATCCAAACCAAAACCCGAGCATAAGAGCCCTTGTCTAAAGAATAACTTAACTAACTAATTCATACCGTTGCTCAAACCCTAAACTTGAGTACTAAACGGGCAATATTAATACCAATACTGCTAGCGGAGATCACAACCTACTTCCCGCATGACTCCTATCACAACCTGCCGTCAGGCAAACCGTTATCAAGCACATTTAACTAAGATAAGATGGTAAACTTTTGAGCGTTAACCCAGGGTAGCCACATACCCTACTCATACCGATTAAAAATACGATAGGACATTAAAATTAAGCATATATTGTATTATGCAATATTATTTATTAACCGTGAAATACTGAAAATACTAGCTAACGATTCACGCCAACTTTCCTATCCGCTTAAATCCAGTTTCCGATAGGAACTGCTTCGTCATGGTTGTTGCACGTCCTGGCGTATGAAACTGACAGGATGTAGCTCCCAATCTGTATACAGGTGTGTACGCTTAGTAAGCCTTGGTGTAGGGAAGCAAATGCTGTCGAACAAGCTCATTCCTGCATTAAAAAACATAAAACGTTACAATTTTACTGAATTTAGTTTGTAAAATAGGGCGTTTTTACATGCGTGCCCTAACCTGATTGTCATGAACTCAAAATCACGATTTCTCCTTTTGGAGATGATTTCTTGAATATTTTCACCTGCCATGGGAATGTTCTTTTATAACGCATGACGCGGTAAGGAGGTGTTAATAGATGCTACTTATTAGCATGGGAAGTAATGTGCACATACAGCGAGCCAAATATTCCTGATAGCTTCGTAATCTTTGCCTATTTAGCTCCAATGAAAGAAAACTATCATGAATTCTTGAGAAAAGGGCTCACCAGGATTTCAATCAATTTTAAAAACAAAAATATCTACATCAACAATGTGTCGTACCACCAACTCAAATACGGATCTCGACATGTCATGAGTTCGGCCGTCGACTTTATCTAGCGGAGCTAGCTTTCTAGGATTTTCACAGATCTCGTCCCCTAGGTAGTTATACGTGCACGCGAAACTAGCTCATTGAGTTCCGAGATCGAACGACAAAGACTATTTAGAGACAAAGAGGCCACAGCGCCTGACGGATGATACTGCTCAGTTTCACCTAGAGACATTTTATCACGAATTCAAAAGCCAGCAGCAGAGGATAGTTAAGGTTCAGAGAGAATTTACGTCCGTATCGGTGAAAATTGTAAACACACTTAACAAACAACTCGTTAGTCCATCGAAAGCGACAAGAATCAACACAGTCCTTGAGGAGGACAGAGCGCCGAACGACGCGTGAATAGCAACGCAGGCTAATTTTCCTAACGACTGCTGGATGAGCGACGGGTGACGCTGTACCGACTTTTGACGTGTATACGCGTTTGTACGTCTAGTGGGTGGTATAATCGAAGGCTAAACTATACCCTCGTACTGATGATGATTATATATAAACACGCATGGACTACTGGGTTTATTCTGATTGGACAGTGTGGGCAAGTAAAGTGGACATGATTAGTTTTGGCCGGGATCCCCAACACGGTTTTTCCGGTGGCAGTGCCGTACATTCTCAGGTGTCTGCCCAGGCCGATGCGTGATTTAAATGTCTAACTGCAAAAACGTCGTGTCGGAACTGTGTCTATAGGGACTTCACAAACTCCCATAGGCATAGCAGATCACTTCAGCCTTCGACTTCCTCGTGTTTCTTCATACCTAAATTGGCGAGAATTTGAAAATCCATGAGTTGGTCAAAGGAACTCCAATGGGCTCTCCAATTTCATAGCAAAATTGGTCCTACATTCCCCTTCCCCCTCCCCCGGCAGTCCTATTGCACGTGTACTATCAAAACTACCAACCCCTTGTATGGTAACGTGGCGTTGTGTGGGGTTGAAGTCTGTATGAGACGCTCAAAAGGGCCGCTTTTAGCTCTGTCAGCTACTGCACCCAATTGACTGGTTGACCGGACAGACAGATGACTGGTGAATATGAGGTGAGGTGGGGATCAACTTGCGGTGCGTGCTCTTCGCTATAAACAGTCTCACGCACGCCACACTCACAGACGCAGTGGCGGAAGGCCGCGAATCGACGAAGTAGCTAAGTTGATCTGTAAGCACGAAGAGACAGGCTAAGTTGACGAAACTCTGATCCTCTGTGTGCGTGCCGTGTGTGCGTGGCGCGCTTAGGCGGGCTTTTTAGTTGTTTCAGTCGGTACGCCAAACACCGTCTCCAGTCTTCTGAACCCTGCCTTGATACCGGACTTGGGAGGGTTAGGAGGAGACGCTGCGGTTGGTAGAGCGCAAGTCATCGCCCCTGCGTCAATCCCGCAGCAAGACAGCCGAAGTTCAGTATCGGCAACGAGGGTCGGCCTCTTAGATTTGGCCTAGGTTATGGAGCAGAAGCAACGCGAATCGCTTTCTTCTGGACATCCGATGTATCCCATTCTAAAGAGTCATGTCCTATCATAATCGAAGTAATTTCTTGAAGGCAGCCATTTGCATTTTCTGTTTGGTTTTCTAACTGGTCTCTCGAGGACATCTGGGGTTACGACAAAAGCGGAGATAGCGCAGAATCCGTAGCAGAATCCGTCAGCTGACTTAGTACCTTTGCTGTCTATTACTGCCGAGCAGATATCTTAAAGCTGAGACGAAAAATGTACATTCTTCGTAGAGTCTATTTTTTGCAAAGATCTCATCTACACCACGTTGAAATATGCTCTAGTAGTACACAGGGCATTTGCTTTGATATACCTTACTCTTTCTCCTCCTTATGGTAATAATTCTGATGATTACTTGCCTCTATTCGACAACCACTTATCAAATTAAATCATTCCAACTACGGCCCCTTTATTTGCTCCATAGCCACAATCGCTTCTACTGAAATTTTTTTGAAAATATATCTCTTTATTCAGTCCTTCGCGCCAATCTGGAAGTCGAACGTCATACTGCTTGTTTTGCCTTTGAAATATGACTCTTTCACTTTATTCGCCTTAATTTTAATGTGATCGAAAAAATTTTCTAATGATTTTTCCCCATTAAACATAAATATCGTCTGCCTTCCTTTATCCCATTAATTCGGATTTTCATTGGATTTTTGGATTTGGAAGGAAAATCAGTATGTTTTCCCGGTGGGTTTTATGGTTCACTTTGCGAGCACTGTTAGTTCTATCGGGAAAGGAGTCAGCAAAATATCACACAGACGCGTTTGAAAACTGTTCCTTAGCGACCTCATTTAAGAAAACTGCATGCATCTTTTCAGCTTCGTGCGGCCAGATTAATAAGGCGATTTCTGTCACCCAGGAGTTATACAAATATACTGTCATAAAAAGAAATATTTTGCTGTTGGCCGCTGAGTGTCACTGTTCTGTGGTTCAGTTATCCATTTCGCCCCACTTCCTCAACGACATGTCGATCGACCTATGTAAGTGTTTCCTTCGAGCAATTTATTTGCAGGCTACGTTCGCGGCATGATAAATCTAGTCGCCGGGGAGAGGGGGGGCGGGCGATGCCTGTGAGTTAGACCCAGCGCATATTCCTGCAGCAGGCATGCTGTTTTCAGTCGCGTGTAGTCGTAACCACATTGGCTCGAGTAATCTCCATAGCTGCGCATTCCCTAAGGGTCACAGATGCATGCTTTCCAGTTTTAATCATCTTATTGACTAAGAGTGATTTGTAACAGCAGTCGGTTTCATAAGACGAAGATGCGATCACTGCAACAAGAAATTTATTAGTCTGACGTTTCGGATTTTCACTCGAATCCACCATCAGAGACAGTCGCAGATAAGGGTAATGGTGGCATAAGGAATGCAGAAATTATAGCGCGTGGCTGCCGTGGAACCTTATGCGCACTGTAATTAATAGCTCTCGGAATCACCGCTGGAGTCGTAATTGATGCGCTGTTGGCTTCCCAGTCCGAGTCCGATTTATTAATGGCTATGATTTCCTATATCGTGTTGGATGCTGGTGTGACGATGACTCGGCACATTGGCTCACTGTCAGTAGGATGATTACTCGCACACGCTGTCCCCACGTGACTAATTTCCCTGCCCAGGGAATGTCTCAGCACAATATATGTTAACGGAAGGTCACTGCGCTTGTTGATGAATTACGAGCATGAGAACCATGACTCGAGCAGCTCGCGGCAGTGATCACATCTTCGTCTTCTGAACTGCTACCTGGAACTCGCCTGTTCGCTTCTATCAGCTTCTTGAGCAACCTAACGAAGCAGCAACCGAGAGGTCTTTTTATTCCTTTCTCTGACACCTACAAATAAATATTGCCAGTCATTTAACACAGTTTCTCCCCGATGTGAGTGGCGCCCGGGCAAAAACTACACCCTTGCACAGATTGCCACACAATCCTACAATAGATGCTGCCACCACTGTCTCAGGCACTCTCGAGCACGATTGGACGCAGTCAGTACCGGCCTTGGCAACT